ATCCTACCGACCCCCCTCCATCCCCCCCCTCCGATCCTCCATCCTACCCCCATCTCCATCCTCCATCCTCCGACCCCCCTCCATCCCCTCCGACCCCATCCTCCATCCCGACCCCCATCCTCCATCCTCCGACCCCCATCCTCCACATCCCACCCCATTCCCGACCCCCCATCTCTGACCCCCATCCTCCGACCCCTCCGACCCCATCTCCATCCTCCGACCCCCATCCTCTGACCCCCATCCTCCATCCCGACCCTCCATCCTCGACCCCCATCCTCCATCCTCTGACCCCTATCCTCCATCCTCGACCCCCTATCCTCCGATCCCTCCCCATCCCCATCCTCCCCGACCCCCATCCTGACCCCATCCTCCGACCCCCATCCTCCGACCCCCATCCTCCATCCTCTGACCCCCATCCTCCATCCTCGACCCCCATCCTCCTACCCCTATCCTCCATCCTCTGACCCCCATCCTTCGACCCCCATCCTCCGACCCCCATCCTCCATCCTCCAACCCCTATCCTCCATCTTCTGACCCTCATCTTCCATCCTCCGACCCCTATCCTCCATCCACCGACCCCCATCCTCCATCCTCCGACCCCCCATCCTCTGACCCCAATCCACCGACCCCTCATCCTCCGATCCCCCATCCTCCATCCTCTGACCCCCATCCTCCGACCCCCATCCTCCAACCCCTATCCTCCATCCTCCGACCCAAATTTTCCCTCCTCCAACCTCCATCGTCCTTCTTCCGACCCCCATCCACTATCCTCCGACCCCCATCCTCCGACCTCCATCCTCTATCCCCCATCCTCCGACCCAAATCCTCCCTCCTCCCTCCTCCAACCCCCATCCACCATCCTCCGACCCCCATCCTCCTTCTTCCGACCCCCATCCTCCTTCCTCTGACCCCAATCTACCATCCTCCAACCCCCATCCTCCTTCCTCCGACCCCCATCCTCCAACCTTCTTTCTCTAACCCCATCTTCCTTCTTCCAATGCCCATCGTCCAACCTGCATTATCCATCCTGCATCCTCTGACCCCCCATCCTCTATCCACTGACCCCCATCCTCTATCCACTGACCCCCATCCTCTGCCCTCCATCCTCCAACCCCAATCCTCCTTCTACTGACCCCCATCCTTCATCCTCTAATCCCCATCCTCTATCCTCCGACCCCCATCCTCCATCCACCGACCCCCATCCTTTGACCCCCATCCTCCATCCTCTGACCCCCATCCACCAACTCCCATCAACCCCCATCCTTCAACCTCCATCCTCCGACACCCCATCCTCTTTCTTCCGACCCCCCATCCTCCATCCTCTGACCCAAATTTTCCCTCCTCCAACCCCCATCGTCCTTCTTCCAACCCCCATTCACCATCCTCCAACCCCCATCGTCCGACCTCCATCCCCCATCCTCCGACCCAAATCCTCCCTCCTCCAACCCCCATCCACCATCCTCCGAACCCCATCCTCCTTCCTCCGACCCCCATCCTCCTTCCTCTGACCCCCATCCTCCTTCCGCTGACCCCCATCCTCTCTCCTCTGACATCCATATTCTTTCCTCTGACCCCCATCCTCCGCCCTCCATCATCCAATCCCCATCTCCTTCCTCTGACCCCCATCCTTCATCCTCTCATCCCCATCCTCCATACTCTGATCCTCATCCTCCATCGTCTAACCCACATCCTTCCTCTGACCCCCCATCCTCCTTCCTCTGACCCCCATCCTCTGACTCTCATCCGCTCTCCTCCATCCTATTATTCCCATCCTGCACCTCCCATGCTCTATCCCCCATTCACTTTCTTCCATCCTCCATCTAGCCATCCCTTGATCCCCATCTTCTGACCCCAATCCCAATCTGACCTCCATCTGCCCAACCTCCATCTCCCATCCTCCTCAGCTATCCTCTGACCCCCATCCTCTGTCCTCCATCCTCTGTCTGACCTCTTCTGCTCCCCACCCTCTCACCCCTCTCTTCTGTCCCTCATCCGTTGTCAACCACCCTCTTTTCTCCATCCTCTGTCTTCTTTCCCCCACCCTCTCACCCCTCTCCTCCATCCTCTGTTTTCCATCCTTCTTCCTCCATCCTCCATCCTCTAACCTCAGACTCCCATCCTCTATCCTCTTTCCCCCACCCTCTCACCCCTCTCCTCCATCCTGTTTTCCATCCTTCTTCCTCCATCCTCTCTCCTCTATTCTCCATCCTCTCTCCTCTATTCTCCATCCTTTCTCCTCTATTCTCCATGCCATCCTCTAACCTCAGACTCCCATTCTCTATCCTCCATCCCCTCATTCTCTTTCCTGCTTCCTGTGTCCTCCATACTTAATTCACTACCCCCCATCCTCCATCTTCTGTCTGCCATTCTCTGGTCACCACCCTCACCCCTCTCCTCCATCCTCTGTCCTCCATCCTTCATCCCTGTGAAGATCTAGGAGTGCAGAGAGAGAGCACATGGAGACAGATCACACGGAACCTGATGTGTGGCCCTTTATTGGGGAGTTTCTTGGGGGTACAGACGATCGAACAGCTAGTCCACAGAACAATACAAGACACAGCCATACAGGAGGGTTCTCAGGATGGCAATATGGGACAACAGGGGGCTGATAGTCCATAGGGTTCAATAGGACGGAGCGGAGGGGCACCGCAGGGGTTGGAGTCCACGAAAAGGGTTAAATCCTCAGCGCAGGGGCTGGCGCACATCAAAGAGGCAGAACTCTGGTGGGTGGGGGCCTGCTGCAAGGTGGCTGGACTAGGTGGGAGCAGGGGCTGTGGGGGCCCATTTGGGGAGGCGTGTAGGACTCTGGTGCAGGGCTGGGCATCCTGGCTGCTCGGGGTGCCTCGGCAGCAAGCTACCATTGCGGGTTCATTTGGAGCGCCTCATCCGCTAAGGCTGCAGCTTCTTCCAGGGTGGCAGGTTTCCATTCACGCACCCACTGTCAGAGCTCGGGGGGGGGGGGGGACACTTGAAAAGGAACTATTGATCTTCTCAGGGGGGGGTTGCCTTCTTCCTTCTAGCCACCGGCGACATGCTAAGGACAACTTGTGTGGAAACATCTTGAAGGAGGTCTCTGGGAGGCGGGGGATATTCCAGATCTGGTCCAGTACGGCCCTTTTTGTCTCCTCATAGTTCTGCTTCTTGAGGGGTCCATCATTCGGTAGGCCTCAGCAGCCCCTCCGTCAAGCAGCCCTACCACATGGCGAGTCCAGTCTGTGGTGGGACCTTCAGTAGTTCGCATTGATATTCAAAGTCCTGGAAGAACCCTTCCACATCTCCGGTGTGTTCTTGGTAGGACTTAAAGTCCTTCCTGGATATTCTCTGGGCCTCCCGTGCCACAAGGACAGGCATAGGGGCAGCTACTCGGTCCTTTGCGGCTTCCCACTCTTTTTGTCTTTTTTCAGCCTTTTCAATGGCCGCCAGCTTCCTTTCTGTGATGGTATCCTTCCCTAGAATGGCCGTCTCTTCCTCGTACCAGATGACCCGTGGGCTCTTGCTGCTTGCTGGCCGTCTTCCCTCGAGACTGCTTGGCCCATATCCACGCCCGACTCTTCCCTCTGGCTGACTTCCTCCAGCATGTGGACCAGCTGATCTTTCTGAAGTCCCTTGTAGTTGAGGCCCAAAGTTCTGGCCTTTCTTTGTAAGCTTCTCACTATCCAGTATATTCCGGGGCCTCCGTGTCCATCGTATGCAGACTCTCATCCGCCATCTCCAGCGCTCTCGTCCCACTGCTGCCAACCAGTTGTGATGAACTAGGAGCGCAGAGAGAGAGAACATGGAGACAGATCACATGGAACCCGTCTGCGCTTCCTGCTGAGATCAACCTCGTCTTCCACCCCTGCGGGGTATAGGAACTCTTAGACACGCTGAGTGCTGGTCACCCTCGATGAGTTCAACAAACCACACAAAAATAAAATAATAGTTCTGATCTCCACAGTCACAGTCCCCCATCCTCTGTCCTCCATCCTCCATTGTCTGTCCTCTATCCACTGTCCCAACCCATCCTCTGTCCTCCATCCTCCATTGTCCTCTATCCACTGTCCCAACCCATCCTCTGTCCTCCATCCTCCATTGTCCTCTATCCACTGTCCCAACCCATCCTCTGTCCTCCATCCTCCATTGTCCTCTATCCACTGTCCCAACCCATCCTCTGTCCCCCATCCTCTGTCCTCCATCCTCCATTGTCTGTCCTCTATCCACTGTCCTAACCCATCCTCTGTCCTCCATCCTCCATTGTCCTCTATCCACTGTCCCAACCCATCCTCTGTCCTCCATCCAAATCCTCTGTCGGCCATCTTCTCACCCCCATCCTCTGTTCTCCATCTTTTGTCCTCCAACCTCTGTCCTCCATTCTCTGTCCCCCATCCTCTGTCCTCCATCCTCCATTGTCTGTCCTCTATCCACTGTCCCAACCCATCCTCTGTCCTCCATCCAAATCCTCTGTCTGCCACCTTCTCACCCCCATCCTCTGTTCTCTGTTCTCCATCTTTCATCCTCCAACCTCTGCTCCTCACCTTCTGTCCTCCATTCTCTGTCCCCCATCCTCTGTTTTCCATCCTCCAACCTCTGACCCCCATCCCTCCTCCTCCAACCTCTGTCCCCTATCCTTCATCCTCTGTTCTCTGTTCTCCATCTTTCATCCTCCAACCTCTGCCCCTCACCTTCTGTCCTTCATTCTCTGTCCCCCATCCTCTGTTCTCCATCCTCCAGCCTCTGACCCCCATCCCTCCTCCTCCAACCTCTGTCCTCTATCCATCATCTCACATCTTCCCTCCTCCAACCTCTGTCCTCGATCCCCCATCCTCTGTTCTTTATCTTTCATCCTCCAACCTCTGCCCCCCACTCTCTGTCTTCCTTTCTCTGTCCCCCATCCTCTGTCCTCCATTTTCTATCCTCCGTCCTCCAACCTCCAATCTCTGACCCCCATCCCTCCTCCGCCAGCCTCTTTCCTCTATACTGCATCCCCCCTTCTCCAACCTCTGTCCTCCATCCTCCATTCTCTATCCCCCATCTCCCCTCCTCCAACCTCTGTCCTCCATCCTCTATCCCCCATCCTCCATCCTCCAACCTCTGTCCTCCATCCTCTATCCCCCATCCTCCATCCTCTGATCCCGATCCTCTCCTTGTACCCCATCCTACCCATCCATCCCTCTCATCTGATCTCAGCTGATGACCTCTCTAATGTTTTGCCCGCCTGGCAGCCATTTTGCCGGAAGCTCCTGGGCCGCCGCTGGCTAAGTAACTCGGATGCCTGTGATGGGATTGTGTCGGGTCTGGCGGAATATGCTGTGGCCCTTCGTAGGCTGAACCCGGGGCCCTACCAGGTACGGAGACTCTCATCTGTCTGATGTCAGAGAAATATGAGCAGCAATAAAGTCCACCTATTACCCCCCGCAGGCCACAGTGTCCGAGCTCCACCGCCGGGTCCTCCTGGAGTACGTGAGGCCTCTGATCCAGGGCAAAATGTCCTGCACCGCCTCCAGGACCAGGAAGAGAGCCGCCAGCAAACTGAGGGAGGAGAACCGCCACATCGGACAGATCTTCAACAAGCTGGTGAGCAACCCACCTTCCCACCCGTATTCACTGACATCTCCATCCGTATACACTGACATCTCCATCCGTATTCACTGAGATCTCCATCCGTATTCACTGACATCTCCATCCGTATACACTGACATCTCCATCCGTATACACTGACATCTCCATCCGTATACACTGACATCTCCATCCCCGCACACTGACATCTCCATCCGTATACACTGACATCTCCATCCGTATACACTGACATCTCCATCCGTATACACTGACATCTCCATCCGTATACACTGACATCTCCATCCCCGCACACTGTGATCTCCATCCGTATTCACTGACATCTCCATCCGTATACACTGACATCTCCATCCGTATACACTGACATCTCCATCCGTATACACTGACATCTCCATCCGTATACACTGACATCTCCATCCCCGCACACTGAGATCTCCATCCGTATTCACTGAGATCTCCATCTGTATTCACTGACATCTCCATCCGTATACACTGACATCTCCATCCCCGCACACTGAGATCTCCAACCGTATTCACTGAGATCTCCATCCGTATTCACTGACATCTCCATCCGTATTCACTGAGATCTCCAACCGTATTCACTGAGATCTCCATCCGTATTCACTGACATCTCCATCCCCGCACACTGACATCTCCATCCGTATTCACTGAGATCTCCATCCGTATTCACTGACATCTCCATCCGTATTCACTGATATCTCCATCTCCGCACACTGAGATCTCCATCCGTATTCACTGACATCTCCATCCGTATACACTGACATCTTCATCCATATTCACTGACATCTCCATCCGTATTCACTGACATCTCCATCCGTATACACTGACATCTCCATCCGTATACACTGACATCTCCATCCGTATACACTGACATCTCCATCCATATTCACTGACATCTCCATCCGTATACACTGACATCTCCATCCCCGCACACTGACATCTCCATCCGTATTCACTGACATCTCCATCCGTATTCACTGACATCTCCATCTCCGCACACTGAGATCTCCATCCGTATTCACTGACATCTCCATCCGTATTCACTGACATCTCCATCCGTATACACTGACATCTCCATCCCCGCACACTGAGATCTCCATCCGTATTCACTGACATCTCCATCCGTATACACTGACATCTCCATCCCCGCACACTGAGATCTCCATCCGTATTCACTGACATCTCCATCCGTATTCACTGACATCTCCATCCGTATTCACTGAGATCTCCATCCGTATTCACTGACATCTCCATCCGTATTCACTGAGATCTCCATCCGTATTCACTGACATCTCCATCCGTATTCACTGACATCTCCATCCCCGCACACTGATATCTCCATCCGTATTCACTGAGATCTCCATCCGTATTCACTGAGATCTCCATCCGTATTCACTGACATCTCCATCTCCGCACACTGAGATCTCCATCCGTATTCACTGACATCTCCATCCGTATTCACTGACATCTCCATCCGTATTCACTGACATCTCCATCCCCGCACACTGAGATCTCCATCCGTATTCACTGACATCTCCATCCGTATTCACTGAGATCTCCATCCGTATTCACTGACATCTCCATCCGTATTCACTGAGATCTCCATCCGTATTCACTGACATCTCCATCCGTATTCACTGACATCTCCATCCGTATTCACTGACATCTCCATCTCCGCACACTGAGATCTCCATCCGTATTCACTGACATCTCCATCTGTATTCACTGACATCTCCATCCCCGCACACTGATATCTCCATCCGTATTCACTGACATCTCCATCCGTATTCACTGACATCTCCATCCCCGCACACTGAAATCTCCATACGTATTCACTGACATCTCCATCCGTATTCACTGACATCTCCATCCGTATTCACTGACATCTCCATCCCCGCACACTGAGATCTCCATCCGTATTCACTGACATCTCCATCCGTATTCACTGAGATCTCCATCCGTATTCACTGAGATCTCCATCCGTATTCACTGAGATCTCCATCCATATTCACTGACATCTCCATCCCCGCACACTGATATCTCCATCCGTATTCACTGAGATCTCCATCCGTATTCACTGAGATCTCCATCCGTATTCACTGACATCTCCATCCCCGCACACTGAGATCTCCATCCGTATTCACTGAGATCTCCATCCGTATTCACTGAGATCTCCATCCGTATTCACTGACATCTCCATCCGTATTCACTGACATCTCCAACCGTATTCACTGAGATCTCCATCCATATTCACTGACATCTCCATCCCCGCACACTGATATTTCCATCCGTATTCACTGACATCTCCATCCGTATTCACTGAGATCTCCATCCCCACACACTGATATCTCCATCCCCACACACTGATATCTCCATCCCCGCACACTGATATCCCCATCCCCGCACACTGATATCCCCATCCCCGCACACTGATATCTCCATCCCCACACACTGATATCCCCACACACTGATATCCCCATCCCCACACACTGATATCCCCATCCCCACACACTGATATCCCCATCCCCATACACTGATATCCCCATCCCCACACACTGATATCCCCGCACATTGATATCCCCACACACTGATATCCCCATCCCCACACACTGATATCCCCATCCCCACACACTGATATCCCCATCCCCGCACACTGATATCTCCATCCCCGCACACTGATATCTCCATCCCCACACACTGATATCTCCATCCCCACACACTGATATCTCCATCCCCACACACTGATATCCCCATCCCCACACACTGATATCTCCATCCCCACACACTGATATCTCCATCCCCCCACACACTGATATCCCCATCCCCGCACACTGATATCTCCATCCCCACACACTGATATCCCCGCACACTGATATCTCCATCCCCGCACACTGATATCCCCATCCCCGCACACTGATATCTCCATCCCCACACACTGATATCTCCATCCCCACACACTGATATCTCCATCCCCACACACTGATATCCCCATCCCCACACACTGATATCTCCATCCCCGCACACTGATATCCCCATCCCCGCACACTGATATCTCCATCTTCACACACTGATATCTCCATCCCCACACACTGATATCTCCATCCCCACGCACTGATATCCCCATCCCCACACACTGATATCCCCATCCCCACACACTGATATCCCCGCACATTGATATCCCCACACACTGATATCCCCATCCCCACACACTGATATCCCCATCCCCACACACTGATATCCCCATCCCCGCACACTGATATCTCCATCCCCGCACACTGATATCTCCATCCCCACACACTGATATCTCCATCCCCACACACTGATATCTCCATCCCCACACACTGATATCCCCGCACACTGATATCTCCATCCCCGCACACTGATATCCCCATCCCCGCACACTGATATCTCCATCCCCACACACTGATATCTCCATCCCCACACACTGATATCTCCATCCCCACACACTGATATCCCCATCCCCACACACTGATATCTCCATCCCCGCACACTGATATCCCCATCCCCGCACACTGATATCTCCATCTTCACACACTGATATCTCCATCCCCACACACTGATATCTCCATCCCCACGCACTGATATCCCCATCCCCACACACTGATATCCCCATCCCCACACACTGATATCCCCATCCCCACACACTGATATCCCCATCCCCCATACACTGATATCCCCATCCCCACACACTGATATCCCCACACACTGATATCCCCATCCCCACACACTGATATCCCCACACACTGATATCCCCACACACTGATATCCCCATCCCCACACACTGATATCCCCATCCCCACACTGATATCCCCATCCCCACACACTGATATCTCCATCCCCACACACTGATATCCCCACACACTGATATCCCCATCCCCACACACACTGATATCCCCATCCCCACACACTGATATCTCCATCCCCACACACTGATATCCCCATCCCCCCGCACTGATATCCCCATCCCCACACACTGAGATCCCCATCCCCACACACTGATATCCCCATCCCCACACACTGATATCCCCATCCCCACACACTGATATCTCCATCCCCACACACTGATATCCCCATCCCCACACTGATATCCCCATCCCCGCACTGATATCCCCATCCCCATACACTGAGATCCCACTCTTCCCACCTCTCCCCCCTAACCCCATCCTCTGGCTCCTCCCTCTCCTCAGGAATCCCCACAGGCCATGCTGGAGCACGTCATCCCGCGACTCTCGGAGATTTTGGTCCTGGAAGACACGGCGTCCATCCAGATGGAGGTGGGGATGTTGGTGTCGGACTTTCCAGACTTCAGGTCAGTGTCAGAGATCTCCGGCATTTCCTTCTCATAGATCATAGATCCCGGAGTTCATAGATCCCGGAGTTCATAGATCCGGAGTTCATAGATCCGGAGTCCATAGATCCCGGAGTTCATAGATCCCGGAGTCCATAGATCAGGGAGATCATAGATCCGGAGTCCATAGATCCCGGAGTTCATAGATCCCGGAGTTCATAGATCCCGGAGTTCATAGATCCCGGAGTTCATAGATCCGGAGTCCATAGATCCGGAGTTCATAGATCCCGGAGTCCATAGATCAGGGAGATCATAGATCCGGAGTCCATAGATCCGGAGTTCATAGATCCCGGAGTCCATAGATCAGGGAGATCATAGATCCGGTGTTCATAGATCCCGGAGTTCATAGATCCAGAGATTATAGATCCCAGGAGTTCATAGATCCCAGATTTTATAGATCCCGGAGTTCATAGATCCCGGAGTTCATAGATCCGGAGTTCATAGATCCCGGAGTTCTTAGATCCCGGAGTCCATAGATCCCGGAGTTCATAGATCCCGGAGTCCTTAGATCCCGGAGTCCATAGATCAGGGAGATCATAGATCCGGAGTTCATAGATCCCGGAGTCCATAGATCCCGGAGTTCATAGATCAGGGAGATCATAGATCCGGAGTTCATAGATCCAAGAGTCCATAGATCCCGGAGTTCATAGATCCCAGAGTCCATAGATCTGGAGTTCCTAGATCCGGAGTTCATAGATCCCGGAGTTTATAGATCTCGGAGTTCATAGATCCTGGAGTCCATAGATCCCGGAGTCCATAGATCCCGGAGTCCATAGATCCCGGAGTGTATAGATCCGGAGTTTATAGATCCGGAGTTCATAGATCCGGAGTTCATAGATCCGGAGTTCATAGATCCGGAGTTCGTAGATCCGGAGTTCATAGATCCCGGAGTTCATAGATCTCCAACAATTCCTTCTCTTAGATCACAGATCCCGGAGTTCACAGATCCCAGATTCCATATATCTGGAGTTCATAGATCCCGGAGTTCATAGATCCCGGAGTTCATAGATCCCGGAGTTCATAGATCCCGGAGTTCATAGATCCCGGAGTTCGTAGATCCCGGAGTTTGTAGATCTGGGAATTCGTAGATCCCGGATTTCATAGATCCGGGAGTTCATAGATCCCGGAGTTCATAGATCCGGAGTTCAGAGATCCGGAGTTCAGAGATCCGGAGTTCATAGATCCTGGAGTTCATAGATCCGGAGTTCATAGATCCCGGAGTTCATAGATCTCCAACAATTCCTTCTCTTAGATCATAGATCCCGGAGTTCACAGATCCCGGAGTTCACAGATCCCGGAGTTCACAGATTCCGGAGTTCACAGATCCCGGATTTCATAGGTTCAGGAATTCTTTGATCCAGGAATTCATAGATCCGGGAATTCATAGATCCGGGAGATCATAGATCCCGGAATTCATAGATCCAGGAATTCATAGATCAGGGAGATCACAGATCCCACAGTTCATAGATCCCGGAGTTTATATATTCCGGAGTTCATAGATCCGGAGTTCACATATCCCGGAGTTCACAGATCCCGGAGTTCACAGATCAGGGAGATCATAGATCCCGGAGCTCATAGATTCCGGAGTTCATAGATCACGGAGTTCATAGATCTTCAACAATTCCTTCTCTTAGATCATAGATCCCGGAGTTCACAGATCCAGAGTTCATAGATCCTGGAGTTCACAGATCCAGAGTTCATAGATCGCGGAGTTCATAGATCCCGGAGTTCATAGATCCCGGAGTTCATAGATCCCGGAGTTCGTAGATCCCGGAGTTTGTAGATCTGGGAATTCGTAGATCCCGGATTTCATAGATCCGGGAGTTCATAGATCCCGGAGTTCATAGATCCGGAGTTCAGAGATCCGGAGTTCAGAGATCCGGAGTTCATAGATCCTGGAGTTCATAGATCCGGAGTTCATAGATCCCGGAGTTCATAGATCTCCAACAATTCCTTCTCTTAGATCATAGATCCCGGAGTTCACAGATCCCGGAGTTCACAGATCCCGGAGTTCACAGATTCCGGAGTTCACAGATCCCGGATTTCATAGGTTCAGGAATTCTTTGATCCAGGAATTCATAGATCCGGGAATTCATAGATCCGGGAGATCATAGATCCCGGAATTCATAGATCCAGGAATTCATAGATCAGGGAGATCACAGATCCCACAGTTCATAGATCCCGGAGTTTATATATTCCGGAGTTCATAGATCCGGAGTTCACATATCCCGGAGTTCACAGATCCCGGAGTTCACAGATCAGGGAGATCATAGATCCCGGAGCTCATAGATTCCGGAGAGTTCATAGATCACGGAGTTCATAGATCTTCAACAATTCCTTCTCTTAGATCATAGATCCCGGAGTTCACAGATCCAGAGTTCATAGATCCTGGAGTTCACAGATCCAGAGTTCATAGATCGCGGAGTTCATAGATCGCGGAGTTCATAGATCCCGGAGTTTATAGATCCCGGAGTTTATAGATCCCGGAGTTTATAGATCCCGGAGTTTATAGATCCCGGAGTTCATAGATCCCGGAGTTCATAGATCCCAAGTTCATAGATCCCAATTTCATAGATCCCAGAGTTCATAGATCCCAGAGTTCATAGACCTCCAACAATTCTTTCTCTTAGATCACAGATCCCGGAGTTCACAGATGCCGGATTTCATAGATCCTGGAATTCATAGATCCCGGAGTTCATAGATCAAGGAGATCATAGATCCCGGAATTCATAGATCAAGGAGATCATAGATCCCGGAATTCATAGATCAAGGAGATCATAGATCCCGGAATTCATAGATCCGGAAATTCATAGATCCGGTAAATCAAAGGTCAGGGAATTCATAGATCCGGAAATTCATAGATCTAGGAGATTGTAGATCCAAACATTCAGAGTCAGGAATGATGTACTGAGCCGAGTACAGCTCAGAGACAGGAATGATGTACTGAGCCGAGTACAGCTCAGAGACAGGAATGATGTACTGAGCCGAGTACAGCTCAGAGACAGGAATGATGTACTGAGCCGAGTACAGCTCAGAGACAGGAATGATGTACTGAGCCGAGTACAGCTCAGAGACAGGAATGATGTACTGAGCCGAGTACAGCTCAGAGACAGGAATGATGTACTGAGCCGAGTACAGCTCAGAGACAGGAATGATGTACTGAGCCGAGTACAGCTCAGAGACAGGAATGATGTACTGAGCCGAGTACAGCTCAGTGACAGGAATGATATACTGAGCCAAGTACAGCTCAGAGACAGGGAATGATGTACTGAGCCGAGTACAGCTCAGTGACAGGAATGATATACTGAGCCGAGTACAGCTCAGAGACAGGAATGATGTACTGAGCCGAGTACAGCTCAGAGACAGGAATGATGTACTGAGCCGAGTACAGCTCAGTGACAGGGAATGATATACTGAGCCGAGTACAGCTCAGAGACAGGAATGATGTACTGAGCCGAGTACAGCTCAGAGACAGGAATGATGTACTGAGCCGAGTACAGCTCAGAGACAGGAATGATGTACTGAGCCGAGTACAGCTCAGAGACAGGAATGATGTACTGAGCCGAGTACAGCTCAGAGACAGGAATGATGTACTGAGCCGAGTACAGCTCAGAGACAGGAATGATGTACTGAGCCGAGTACAGCTCAGTGACAGGAATGATATACTGAGCCAAGTACAGCTCAGAGACAGGAATGATGTACTGAGCCGAGTACAGCTCAGTGACAGGAATGATATACTGAGCCGAGTACAGCTCAGAGACAGGAATGATGTACTGAGCCGAGTACAGCTCAGAGACAGGAATGATGTACTGAGCCGAGTACAGCTCAGTGACAGGAATGATATACTGAGCCGAGTACAGCTCAGAGACAGGAATGATGTACTGAGCCGAGTACAGCTCAGAGACAGGAATGATGTACTGAGCCGAGTACAGCTCAGAGACAGGAATGATGTACTGAGCCGAGTACAGCTCAGAGACAGGAATGATGTACTGAGCCGAGTACAGCTCAGAGACAGGAATGATGTACTGAGCCGAGTACAGCTCAGTGACAGGAATGATATACTGAGCCGAGTACAGCTCAGAGACAGGAATGATGTACTGAGCCGAGTACAGCTCAGAGACAGGAATGATGTACTGAGCCGAGTACAGCTCAGAGACAGGAATGATGTACTGAGCCGAGTACAGCTCAGAGACAGGAATGATGTACTGAGCCGAGTACAGCTCAGAGTTGGGAATGATATACTGAGCCGAGTACAGCTCAGAGACAGGAATGATGTACTGAGCTGAGTACAGCTCAGAGACAGGAATGATGTACTGAGCCGAGTACAGCTCAGAGACAGGAATGATATACTGAGCCGAGTACAGCTCAGAGACAGGAATGATGTACTGAGCCGAGTACAGCTCAGAGACAGGAATGATGTACTGAGCTGAGTACAGCTCAGAGACAGGAATGATATACTGAGCCGAGTACAGCTCAGAGACAGGAATGATGTACTGAGCCGAGTACAGCTCAGAGACAGGAATGATGTACTGAGCCGAGTACAGCTCAGAGTTGGGAATGATATACTGAGCCGAGTACAGCTCAGAGACAGGAATGATGTACTGAGCTGAGTACAGCTCAGAGACAGGAATGATGTACTGAGCCGAGTACAGCTCAGAGTTGGGAATGATATACTGAGCCGAGTACAGCTCAGAGACAGGAATGATTTACTGAGCCGAGTACAGCTCAGAGTTGGGAATGATATACTGAGCCGAGTACAGCTCAGAGACAGGAATGATATACTGAGCCGAGTACAGCTCAGAGACAGGAATGATGTACTGAGCCGAGTACAGCTCAGAGACAGGAATGATATACTGAGCCGAGTACAGCTCAGAGACAGGAATGATGTACTGAGCCGAGTACAGCTCAGAGTTGGGAATGATATACTGAGCCGAGTACAGCTCAGAGACAGGAATGATTTACTGAGCCGAGTACAGCTCAGAGACAGGAATGAATGATGTACTGAGCCGAGTACAGCTCAGAGACAGGACTGATATACTGAGCCGAATTCTTGGGCAGGGCTGCCACAATGTAATAGCCACATTGGGAGATTCATCCGAGATGTGTTATGTAGATAAAGGTCTCTTGGATATTTTCCAGCCTGGAGGCTGAGCAGAAAAATCTCCATGAGGCTAATCCTGGAGGCCCTATCCTGGAGGCCCTATCCTGGAGGCCCTATCCTGGAGGCCCTATCCTGGAGGCCCTAGGCAGATGCTGCCTACGACCAGAAAACGGCAGGAAAATCGAAGAGATGGTCCGATAATCTGATTGTTAGTACACAGCTCTCATGTTATTGTAAGGGACAAGAATGAACATTTTCCGACACCAGATTGGACGATTTTACAGTTTTCATCCAAAAATACATCACAAATTGTTATTCTGTTGCACAAGAATGTTCATAACTTCAGCAACCGCTTCATTTTCCATATGAGACTAGCAAGAGGGAAAAAAAGAAAACCAGCCGATCATTTGTCTGATACTCTCATGGTGTGTATGGGGCTACTGAGGAAACATCTCCCACCTCATTCTGTTGGCTCACTAATTGCCGACAGATTCGTAGTTTGTACAGACAATAGACTGGCCTCATGTTAGTCACACTGGAGGATCCCACAGAGGCGACACATCACATCACTGACTGGTCTATTGTAAACGTTTCTTGCTTGTAGTAATTGTGGGTAATAATGGTCATTTCCTCACCCTGTGCTGGTGACCGATATATCATACTTTGTTTTTTTCTTCCGTCCTTCCTTCCTTCATATTAGAGGTCATCACGGTCTCTACTTAGGACCACCTAATCTGGCACTTCTGTCCATTTCCTGTACCAGCCCTGATTTCCTTACTGTTAGGAGAACATCAACTTTAACTCTTCCTCCAACCAACCGTGACCCTTCTATGTTTCAGGAAACGTCATCTGTCCTCCCTTCTAGATGTCCGGGGCTTGTGGGACCCAAGTGAGCGACAACAGATTCTGGGTGTTCTGCATGACTTGGAAGGGGCAGATGCACTTCTGCCATGTCGAGGATCTGTGGGCTTCTTCTCGGAAATCTCTATTACACATGATACTCACTGCATCCATGTCGGCCTATCGAGAGCCTCACAGTTTGGCCGCAGAGCATTAAGTCTCCTTAGCGGTCGCAGGAGGACCACAACAAATCATGTCGGGGGTGGACTGTCTCCTGGAGAAGAGGACACCCAGCTTTAGAAGGGGATTCAAGAATTCTTGCAGAATTTGACAAGTTTGGGTGTGCTTATTGTGAGGGAATTGAGGGAGCAAAATGAAGGGAATTTATTGAAAAATCCATTTATCTTGCAGTATATGAAACATTTTGTGTGATTCAGAAAACAGGAGCTGCAGAAAGATGTTGGAGGTACTTAGTTTTCTCAGGAAGATGGGAGATCTCAGTTCTCTTGGGATGTTGAGGATCTCTGTACTCACAGGAAGTTGGAGGATCTCAGTACTCTTGTGAGGTTGGGGGAACTCAGTTCTATTGAGAACTTGACTATTTCCTTACTCTCAGGAAGTTGGGGGGTCTCAGTTCTGTTGAGAACTTGACTATTTCCTTACTCTCAGGAAGTTGGGGGATCTCAGTTCTATTGAGAAGTTGACGATTTCCATACTCTGAGGAAGTTGGGGGGTCTCAGTTCTATTGAGAAGTTGATGATTTCCATACTCTCAGGAAGTTTGGGGGGTCTCAGTTCTATTGAGAAGTTGACGATTTCCATACTCTCAGGAAGTTGGGGGGTCTCAGTTCTGTTGAGAAGTTGACGATTTCCATACTCTCAGGAAGTTGGGGGGTCTCAGTTCTGTTGAGAAGTTGATGATTTCCATGCTCTGCGGAAGTTGGGGGTTCTCAGTTCTGTTGAGAAGTTGACAATTTCCATACTTTTGTGAAGTTGGGGGATCTCAGATCTGTTGAGAAGTTGACGATTTCCATACTCTCAGGAAGTTGGGGGGTCTCAGTTATGTTGAGAAGTTGATGATTTCCTTACTCTCAGGAAGTTGGGGGATCTCAGTTATGTTGAGAAGTTGATGATTTCCATGCTCTGAGGAAGTTGAGGGGTCTCAGTTCTGTTGAGAAGTTGACGATTTCCATACTCTCAGGAAGTTGGGGGATCTCAGTTCTGTTGAGAAGTTGACGATTTCCATACTCTCAGGAAGTTGGGGGGTCTCAGTTCTGTTGAGAAGTTGACGATTTCCATACTTTTAGGAAGTTGGGGGATCTCAGTTCTGTTGAGAAGTTGATGATTTCCATGCTCTGAGGAAGTTGGGGGGTCTCAGTTCTGTTGAGAAGTTGACGATTTCCATACTCTCAGGAAGTTGGGGGATCTCAGTTCTGTTGAGAAGTTGACGATTTCCATACTCTCAGGAAGTTGGGGGATCTCAGTTCTGTTGAGAAGTTGATGATTTCCATGCTCTGAGGAAGTTGGGGGATCTCAGTTATGTTGAGAAGTTGACGATTTCCATACTCTCAGGAAGTTGGGGGATCTCAGTTCTGTTGAGAAGTTGACGATTTCCATACTCTCAGGAAGTTGGGGGATCTCAGTTATGTTGAGAAGTTGACGATTTCCATACTCTCAGGAAGTTGGGGGATCTCAGTTATGTTGAGAAGTTGACGATTTCCATACTCTCAGGAAGTTGGGGAATATCAATTATTTTGAAAAGCTGAGGATTTCCATATTCCCAGAAAGTTGGGGGATCTCAGTTCTCTTTTGTAAAGTAGAGTATCTCAGTTCTCACTGGAAGATGGAGGACCTCATTTCCCTCAGGAGGAGGCAGCACAGTGTTTTGGCACGCTACACAAATACATAATATTGAGGTAAATGACCAGTTAATGTGAGACCACTTTGCTCACCATTTATTAGTCATGCATCACCTTGTGGTGTTTGAAAGTTTCTGAATCTTATGCCCGGTCTATATATAGTGCCTCAGGATCTTTCCAGGTTCAAATCGACCCTAACCTGTTTTTTTTGACCACCCCTTACCAACTGTTACATACAAGATTCCATAGGCAGTTAAGGCTCAGAGATGTGACAGCTGAATGCTGGGGGAGGAGTTTACTACCAGGAAAGGTGAAAAGGCAACGGATACAACCTGGTCCTATGATTTGGGGTCTTCCTTCTCCAACTTTTTCAAAAATGTTTGTACACTTTGGTGGACAGGACAGGTGCACCAGAAGCCAGACAGTCTGAGGTGAGACTGATCTGAAGTGTGGAGGGTTCTGTGAATGTCTCCAGATCTTCTATGCAGGACTGAATATTCTATGCAAAACTATAAAGGAAAGGCTATTGCCTTGTCTGTGTATATAAAGTATATATTGAGCTGAAGTAATAATAAATATTAATTTAACAATCCTCAGGGCGTCTGTCTTGTATCAATACTTCGATATTCAGAGAATGGAGAGCTATAAAGTCTATGGCAGCCTCATAGACAAGGACATTGGGGATATGGCCATAGACAAAGACATTGGGGATGTGGCCATAGACAAGGACATTGAGGGTGTGGCCATAGACAAGGACATTGGAGATGTGGCCATAGACAAGGACATTGGGGATGTGGCCATAGACAAGGACATTGAGGGTGTGGCCATAGACAAGGACATTGAGGGTGTGGCCATAGACAAGGACATTGGAGATGTGGCCATAGACAAGGACATTGGGGATGTGGCCATAGACGAGGACATTGGGGATGTGGCCATAGACGAGAACATTGGGGATGTGGCCATAGACAAGGACATTGGGGATGTGGCCATAGACAAAGACATTGGGGATGTGGCCATAGACAAGGACATTGAGGGTGTGGCCATAGACAAGGACATTGAGGGTGTGGCCATAGACAAGGACATTGGAGATGTGGCCATAGACAAGGACATTGAGGGTGTGGCCATAGACAAGGACATTGGGGATGTGGCCATAGACAAAGACATTGGGGATGTGGCCATAGACAAGGACATTGAGGGTGTGGCCATAGACAAGGACATTGGGGATGTGGCCATAGACGAGAACATTGAGGATGTGGCCATAGACAAGGACATTGGGGATGTAGCCATAGACGAGAACATTGAGGATGTGGCCATAGACAAGGACATTGGGGATGTGGCCATAGACGAGGACATTGGAGATGTAGCCATAGACGAGGACATTGGGGGTGTAGCCATAGACGAGGACATTGGGGGATGTAGCCATAGACGAGGACATTGGGGGATGTAGCCATAGACAAGGACATTGGGGGATGTAGCCATAGACAAGGACATTGGAGATGTAGCCATAGACGAGGACATTGGAGATGTAGCCATAGACGAGGACATTGGAGATTTGACCATAGACGAGGACATTGGGGGATGTAGCCATAGACGAGGACATTGGAGATGTAGCCATAGACGAGGACATTGGAGATGTAGCCATAGACGAGGACATTGGAGATTTGACCATAGACGAGGACATTGGAGATGTGGCCATAGACGAGGACATTGGAGATGTAGCCATAGACGAGGACATTGGAGATGTAGCCATAGACGAGGACATTGGAGATTTGACCATAGACGAGGACATTGGGGATGTGGCCATAGACGAGGACATTGGAGATGTAGCCATAGACGAGGACATTGGGGGATGTAGCCATAGACGAGGACATTGGGGATGTAGCCATAGACGAGGACATTGGGGATGTAGCCATAGACGAGGACATTGGAGATGTAGCCATAGACGAGGACATTGGAGATTTGACCATAGACGAGGACATTGGGGATGTGGCCATAGACAAGGACATTGGAGATGTGGCCATAGACGAGGACATTGGGGGTGTAGCCATAGACGAGGACATTGGGGATGTAGCCATAGACGAGGACATTGGGGATGTAGCCATAGACGAGGACATTGGAGATGTGGCCATAGACGAGGACATTGGAGATGTGGCCATAGACGAGGACATTGGAGATGTAGCCATAGACGAGGACATTGGAGATGTGGCCATAGACGAGGACATTGGGGGTGTAGCCATAGACGAGGACATTGGAGATGTGGCCATAGACGAGGACATTGGGGGATGTAGCCATAGACGAGGACATTGGGGATGTAGCCATAGACGAGGACATTGGGGGATGTAGCCATAGACGAGGACATTGGGGGATGTAGCCATAGACGAGGACATTGGGGATGTAGCCATAGACGAGGACATTGGGGGATGTAGCCATAGACGAGGACATTGGGGATGTAGCCATAGACGAGGACATTGGGGGATGTAGCCATAGACGAGGACATTGGGGGATGTAGCCATAGACGAGGACATTGGGGATGTAGCCATAGACGAGGACATTGGGGGTGTAGCCATAGACGAGGACATTGGAGATGTGGCCATAGACGAGGACATTGGGGGATGTAGCCATAGACGAGGACATTGGGGATGTAGCCATAGACGAGGACATTGGGGGATGTAGCCATAGACGAGGACATTGGGGGATGTAGCCATAGACGAGGACATTGGGGATGTAGCCATAGACGAGGACATTGGGGATGTAGCCATAGACGAGGACATTGGAGATGTAGCCATAGACGAGCCCCATCATATGCTCCCCGGCCCCATCATATGCTCTCCGGCCCCATCATATTCTCTGTGGCCCCATCATATGCTCTCCGGCCCCATCATATGCTCTCCGGCCCCATCATATGCTCTGTGGCCCCATCATATGCTCTCCGGCCCCATCATATGCTCTGTGGCCCCATCATATGCTCTCCGGCCCCATCATATGCTCTCCGGCCCCATCATATGCTCTCCGGCCCCATCATATGCTCTGTGGCCCCATCATATGCTCTCCAGGCCCCATCATATTCTCTGTGGCCTTATTACCCACTAGAATGGAAGTGTCCAATCACAGATGGCCGTGTGTATGTCGGGAAGATGTTCCGGCACACCGAGGATCACCGATGCGGGGCCAAACATTCCAATGAACCATCACATAGTTCCAGCAACGCAACGTTTCGGAGTCCCACAGGACCCCTTCATCAGGCGTGTGACCCCCGCAGGACCCCTTCATCAGGCGTGTGACCCCCGCAGGACCCCTTCATCAGGCGTGTGACCCCCGCAGGACCCCTTCATCAGGCGTGTGACCCCCGCAGGATCCCTTCATCAGGCGTGTGACCCCCGCAGGACCCCTTCATCAGGCATGTGACCCCCCCAGGACCCCTTCATCAGGCGTGTGACCCCCG